CTCAATTTTTGTTAGCATTTAATTGTTTACCCATACTTAAAGATTTATAGCTATTGAATGGTCACAATGTTCCTGGTATTGTCCCCAGTGTTTATCACACATGTGGTCATCCTATCAGAATTTTCACAACAGCCCCATGAGGTGATGGCCCCATCGTACAGTCCCATACACAGATGGAGGCTAAGGTGAGTCTAAGACTTTTCCCCAAGGTCACCCAATGTGCAGAGCCAGGATTTGAACTGATGACTCCCGACAGCAAGTCCAATGTCCTTTCTCCAGAACGGATGGTCTTGGTAGTCTCTAAGGAAGGGGATGACCAAGAGAAAAGCTTCAGAGCTGAAGCCGTTCACAAGTACACATTCCGCTCTGCTGATCCCAGGATCCGTTTTGAAGCCTGTGTTTTCTGGATCTGGGATCCAGACTTCATTCTCCTGGTAATGAGGGAGCGCGAGGGAGCTGGTGATAAACAAGCATGAGTCACCTTAAACCTTCTTAAGCCCACAGTTCTGACCTCCTCTTGCTGGAGGGGCTCACAGGTGCATCTGTGACTCATCTCAAACTGCTCCCTGAGGAGTTGCCAAGAAATAGAGAATTGGCCAACACAACAGGGGAGGGAGGTCCCAAAGGACCCCAGAGGGGTGGGAGTACCAGATTCCGTCACAGCATCCAGGGCACCAGCTCCCAGCAGGGTCAGCCTCAGCAACTGTGTGCCTGAGGGAGTACAGGTCTGAGCCCACATGCTCCAGCCAAACGTGGGAGTCATAAAAACCAGCTCCAGCCTTGTTGGTGTCTCAGTATTTCACATGCCTCTCCCAGTTGGCTTTAGCAACTCGTATATTGTCAGCTAAGCACTGGGGTAAACACCTTCTCTGTCATTAGGGGCTGGGGCACGAGTCGGCATCACATACGGTAGAGAGGGACAAGGTCGGCATCACATACGGTAGAGAGGGACAAGAGCGGTGTGTCCTCTCCATGAATGAGGCCAGCCAGGGCATTCTGGTTCAGACACTGGTTTAGAACAATCCGCATGTTTCTTTCGGGCGCTTGCTGCTCGGTGGTCTTGGTGGTCCTCAACTGGAATCATTTTGCCACCCCACTCAGGGGACACGTGGCAATCTCTGGAGACATGTTTAGGGGTCACATCTTGGGAGTGTGCCATTGTCATTTAGTGATGAGAGGCGAGGGATGCTGCTAAATGCCCTGCAGTGCTTCTGACAGCCCCCACTACAAGGAGTTCTCCATCACCAGTAGTGATAAGGCCAAGAACTCTGATCTGCAATCATGACCCTAGAAACTAGCGGGCCACCCAGTCTTGAGTCATGGCACTTTGAGTATCTTAGAAAGGCTGCTTTCCCTAGGGACACCCAGTCTTCATGCATGCACCCACTGATATGAAGTTGTGGCTTTTCGGAGTTATCAGCATCCCCTGTCCCAGGCACACAACCATATTGGGGCAGGGTCCTTCTTTTTAGAGAGTGTTTCAAATTTCTAATACATGTCAATAAAGAAAAACTCCAGGTGCCAACTCCAGTGTTGGCAGACCCCTTATGGGATGCCTATTTGGGGACAGATAATGTCCAAAAGCTCAGGCCAGGGGGACAGCAAAGCTTAAACAGAGGGAGGAACGCTGGGCTTACCATGCCAGAGCCTTTTCTTGCCTTCTCCAGCTCTTGGAAAAAGTTCTCTAGTTCTTTGCCTTCAATATAACCATTTCCTGCAGAGATAACAAAGAGGGGGGCGGGGGGGGGGAGCCGTGAGCCTCAGAGCTAACAGGTAAGCTTGAAATGGGGTGGGTAGCGGGTGGAAGCTGGGGATCTGGAAGTCCTATGCAGTGCTAGGACTGCAGTCCCTGTGCAAGATGCATGACAGCGTGTGCTTGGAGTGTGCATCCAGCATGCAGAGGTATGGGGGGGGCGGGGGGCACTAGCATCAGGGCACACTGGCAGGTGCTGGGAGCCTTGAGCTCTGTCTAGCACCATCCAAGCACATCGTAGGTCTGACAGGAGACCAGCAGTGATAGAAGTTGGTCAGCAGGTGGCAGGTCCCCATCTCCAGGGTGGAT